TAACAAGCTCTAAATGAAATTTGATGAATCTATTCACAATAACTACATATGTACATGCTCTGTACATTGTAATAACAACCAAAAAATGTAAAGACATTTTTTACTAGAATCTGATGAATTTAGTCCAATGAAACAAAGAGATGTTGTTCGAAGAAACCTCCTGAGAGGTTGAGTGAGTTCAGGCCATTCAAGGCGGGACTTATAAACAAATTTCGACCATCCAATAGCATTGTGAGACTGAACAATAGGCCCCAATGACTATGTAAATGTGGTAAAACATAAGATAAAATATAACAGATTGCTTTTTAGAATGGCAAAAGATCACGATTTGATTTTAACAGGGTGTTACAGGGTAAAACCACTTCTTTTTTTTTTGGTAATTAAAAAGAGAGAACCTCCTGACGTGCCTGCATCCGTGATAAAGTCTGCAACGGCTGGGGAACATGTCCCCTTGACTAATGCGGCCATGCGGGTAGTTTTGTGTGAAGGCCACTTGTCGAGGAATTGAGTTTCGCGGCCTTGCAAAGCCAGGCGAGGACTTCAAGGGTCAAATATACGACCAAATAGGACAGAGACGCAAGCCCATAGTGTCATCCAGATGCTTCGCCAGATCTGATTTGATTTCTGTCAAAAACCACTTCACCTCCTCTCGCAGCTCAAAACCCTAACAGTCAAGGCTGTTCGTGCCTGACCCCATCTCCTGGCAGAAGACCCCAAACAAGCGAGAGTTTAGTGGCCGTGATTTGATGAGATTTATCATTTTCACGGATTGGTTCAGCACGGAGTCAAAGAGAACCGGCATTTTTTTAGCAGCTAGTGCTTCGCGATGGACCATGCAATGTGTCCATTTCACAAGTGGAGCTACTTGCTGAACGTGAGCAGCTAGGCCGCTCGCGGCCCGTCATTGCCCGGGCACCATCCGTGCATAGGCCAACGCATCGGTCCCAAGCCAAACCATTTTCACAGATAAAAACATCAAGGACATTGAAGATGGCTTCTCCTGTAGTGTGCGACTGAAGAGGCCGGCAAAACAGGACATCCTCCTCAATCGTCTTGTCCCGCAGATACCTGACATAGGTGAGGAGCTGTGCCTGCCCAGCAATATCAGTGGATTCGTCCAGCTGCAGCGCGTAGTAAGGACTCTTTTTTATGAATGACATCAGTTGCTCTCTGATATCATTAGACATGTCTGAAATTCTCCTAGCGACTGTGTCATTGGACAGTGGTACTGCACCGAGTTTGGCTGCTGCACTATCTCCTATCATTATTCTTTTGCGCAGCCGGCAAAATGAGAGTCTCTGCAATTGTATGCGGTTTACCCAGTTTGGCTATTCTTTTGGCCACTACATACGATGCCTCCAAACACTGTTTAGACACAGTGCTGTGCGCTGACATGGTTGCCTGTTGCTGTTGGAGGCCATCAAGCTTTCTTTTAAAATATTCAGCCGGTTTGTCCTTAATGCCAGCATGCTTTGTTTCGAGGTGCCTTTTTAGTTTACAGGGCTTCATGCTGTCGTTTGCCAGCACCTCAGCACACACGACACACTGAGGTCTCAGATCAGCTGTGACTGTAAACCCAAACTGCAGGTATGCTTCATCGTACCTTCGAAGCTTTTTTGCAGCTGGTGGTGCGTCGGTTGCCTTGTTGGTCCTCACTAGAAATCTCTCCATTTGTGTTGGTTTTGAAATAATTTGGATGTGGATTAGTTGTGATTTCAATAAAGTTTAGGCTATGATGTAACGAGTGTGTGTGTGTGTGTGTGTGTGTGTGTGTGTGTGTGTGGCTATGTTGAGAGACTAGTATCGGGGGCTAATCAGTTGGGACTTAGGCACGATCTTTAATACAAACAAAACAAAATTAATAACAAACAAAATAACGATTTTACAGGCAATGCAGATTTTTTTATATAAAAGACTGTTTGGGTTTTGGAGTATAAGAAAATGATATCGAGATTGATAATAGATAGAGTAGCGAGAGCTGGCACAAGCGAACTTGGCAAGAGACTAGACTAGAGTGAATGGAGCTACGCGCAGTGTTGTATTTTTTGTGTGAGAGTGCAGAGTGAGTGAAGAAACATTTACATTTAAACCCCGCTCTGTGAGCCAGAGCGGGAACGGCGGCGGCCATGCGCATGCACGATTCATTTACAGCCTGGATGCGGAGTGGTGTGTGTCTCCTCTCTGCTCTGACTGCAGGCTGCTGCGCGAGGTTACAGAGACTGACCGCCTGTGAGTGAGTGCTTCGCCATTTTGCGCCACAAAAAGTAATTTCCTGGCCCTTTTCCATCTGGGAAAAAATATATTCCTACTAACAGGTGAGTAAACCTTCATTTTTGATTCATGCAGTTTAATTAAATAATGGAAACTTGTTAAAATGCAACTGTTGCCCTCAGGCAACAACATACCATTTATGGAAAATTGCATATGTTGCCTTGAGGCAACAGTGAACCATTATGGAATCAGCATGGCAGCATGAGATATTGGTAATGTGTGTTAAGGTATATGTTCAAAAGCATACCATTCATCATAATTTTGTTTTGATCTTAACAATTTAACAAAGATATATTTGATGCTGGTTGCAGTAAAGTTCAGGCTATTCCTATACTCTGTAGGCCATAGTTACTACTATAGTGAACTTTGCCTGTCTTATTTGCTTATAATTTCCACACATTTCTTCCATTTTCAGAATGAACTCAGCCTCATTCTATGCCCCTTTAAGGAAGAAGAGGGTAGAAATAACTCTTCCAGTTGAACATTATTAGAGTTAGGTAAAGATGATGATGAGCTGCAAGAATACTTGTCAGGAGAAAGTGAGACTGATGAGGAGGATGAGAGTGAGAATCAGGATGAGGATGAGGGCAGTGAAGGTGAAAGTACAGAGACAGGTATTTTTAGTACAGTATAAGATAGTGTACTGTAAAATGCAATTTAAAATTAATTATTCTTTTTTTTTATTGAATGCTTAGCAAGTGTGCTTGTTTTTCAGTTCCTCTTCCAGAAGCAATAGAAAAGGCCAAGAATCTGGGATGGAAAAAATGCATGCGAAAAGGGGAAGACCATCAACCAATGGAGACCTGGCTGAGAAGAGACAGAGAGGCCCTACTTTAACAGTGCCATCACCACCTGTGCGTCAGGACAACACTGACCACTGGCCTATTTGGGTGGAGAAAAAGGGCAGGTGCAAATACCCTGGATGCAAGGGTATAGAGAAAGTCTAGTGCACAAAATGTGTCACATACCTGTGCTTCACTCCCGTAAAGAACTGCTTCATGGAGTTCCATAAGCACTGAGCAGCAGTGGACACCACAAATGGATGTCAGGAAAGACACAGGGGACTGACAGGACTGTTTTGCAATCTTTGTTTTGATAAATAGTTTGTTTTAAGTTCGAAGATTTACACTTAGACTGTTCAATACGTTCATTTCAATGGGTTGTTGGTTCAATGGTACAGGCTGCTCCTGGCTAATGTCACCTCTGGACGAAATGAATTAACAACAGGAAATCAGAGACTTTTGTTTCCACATCTATCAAGGAATCTGGACACTGTTTCTCAAATGTGGAACTTTTTATGTAAAGATGAAACCATATTATTAGCCCTATCTTGTTACTGCTGTTTACATTATGATCACCTGGACACCCTGGTGGTCAGGAAGAAGAATACAGTGCAAACATCTTTGACTCCTAGATTTAAACGAGATGTCATGTATAATCCAGGGCCAAAATTCTGTTCTGTTCTGCATATAGGTCCATTTTGGCTTTGACTAAATGTTTTCAAACCATTTTTCTTCAAATTTCAGTCCGTAATTTTTGATAGAGTTAAACTATTCCTGTAGATGTAAAACATAACCACCTCCTCAAAATTAGAATAAATCAAGTAATTCAAGTCAAGTCTGAATTAAGCCACAAGTTATTGTTATTGTGTTCAAGTCCAGTTGCAAGTTTATTTTCCGCTGCAGCAAGGACCTTGGTACATGGGGCACCAGCTCTGCTAGGTTAGCTACCAAAGGCACCCCAGATGAAAGTCGGTACTATATGACAGTTGCAATATGGCAGAAGTGTTTTTTTATTTTTTAAACTTGAAGTTTTGTGTTCAGCACACGCTACTAGTCAATATTTGTGCCTTATGCTCCTGTTTGAAGGTAGTGTGATGTCCATTAGGTGTAGATTGTAGTGAAGTGCTTTGCTTTTACACCCTACAACCAAAGTAATACACAGACAACTGGTCTTTAATCCCATAACTATATTTGACCAATTTATATGTCATATACTGTATATTAGCCATGGTAAATAATATGCAGAATTAAAGCTGCAAGCAGCAATGATTGGGCCCTTTTAGTCCGTGCACGCCGGGGTGTACTGTGGTTGTCTTATGCACCCAGCATATCATGTATAGACCAGGCAATGAAAATTTAATGTCAATTAGGTCTAAATAAATCAGATCAAAATTACCTTTTGTTTTCTTACCTGTGAAAATAAGGCATTTTCCAAAAACCATCTTTACTTTTTCTTTTCACGAGCAAGGGGATGGGTATAGGTCCAAGAGGCTTCTTTGTACGTCTGGTTACATGTGTACCGATTTTCATCTATATTGGTGAAACGTGCTGTTGGCGGTGCTCTTTAGGGGGCGCTGTCAAGCCATTTTTCCAAGCACAAGTGCGAGACCCATAATGGGTAATAAGAGCCAGTGTTTGGTTTGCCTGTTCTGGGCTCCTGAGGAAACATGGCAGACTCCATGGAAGGTGACCCGCCACATCTGTAGATATAAACAGCTCATTCTAAGCTAACGGAAGCACAATAATTCTTACTTTATTTATTATACACTAATGAAAACACATAATCAATATAATCAAATTCCATTCAGGTCAGAGGTCAAGGGATCTTTTTGAGAATAGCCAGTTTTTCCATTGCCAAACTTTAGCCTAAATTTGGAGACTCATCAGGTGAGCACAGTGAGTAAACAGGAAAACAAACACACAAATAAACACACAAACACGATGGGATTAAAAATTGATGTTTTTATTATAAATCAGGAGCCGACACACATAAAACATCAATAATACTGATCCTGGTACAACAGTAACGCTGTGACGTGATGTGGGAGAATCCCTCTGCAGGATGAATATTGCAGAGGATGTTAATAACAAGGCCATAAAACTGCACAACAACAGAGCTCTGAGACCGCATCAGCTGAATCTGAGAAAGGCTCAACACTCGTCTTCATTCATGGAGAGTGAACGTCAAAGCTTCCACTATCCATGCTCACATAAACACTATGTAACAGTACTGTAAGTGTGTTTCAGTGCTGCAGGGCAGGGAGGATGGTCCCCACACAGGGTCCGAATCCCACCCTGTATCCATCTCCTTCACAGTAACCTGGACAGAGAAAGAGATGGGACGTTACTGGAGTTATAAAGATTAAAGGCAATTTTGAGGTTAACAGATACAACCAAAAACAACATCAACAATCAGAGATACTGTTACAAGAGATTAAAAATATAACAGACAAAAAAAAACCCGTCATAAAATAAAAGATAAAATAATTAACAAGGATACATGGGAAATATTGTGCCAATATAAACATAACACACATAAAAGCCTGATTACAGTGTTATTTCAGAAGGTAAGTAAAAGATGAAACAGACTGAGTTAGCCTAGTTTAGTCTGCTATAGTCTTAAGTCTGGACTGTGGAACAACCAAGAGGTTTCAAGACGTTCTGGCTCATAAAGAGTTAAATGGTTGGCAATATAACTCGGGGCCAGACCTCTCTGTGCTCTAAAAGTAACTAGTAAGATCTTAAATTCAATTTTAAATTTAAATCCATCTTTAGTGGACATACTTTGACAGGCGTACTGGACTCAAGGATTACCTTGCAGCCATTGCAGTCCATTTTGCAGCTGCCAGTTGAGACATAGAGCCAGGACATTTTCTCACCTAACTCGGTGAATTAAAGATTTATTAATTTATTAATTTGCCGGTGGCAGGCATTAAGAATAAATATATAGAAATCGCCAATGATGGTCTCATATACATAGCCAGTGCTTCCAGTGAACTACCCAGTGATCTGGTGGTGGTGCTCATGGTTCAGACTCACCTGTGATGGTGACTTCATCTCCATCCTTCAGGAAGGTTCTGGTTTCTCCGCCTCCCAGATCGATGTTCTTTGATCCCCTCCACGACAGCTCCAGCATGGAGCCAAAACTCTCTGGATCCTGTTGGGATACAGTACACACAGTACAGGCATTGTCACACAACACGAGACAGAGAGGCACACCAGCATTGCCTCTTTTATAGATAATCTGTTGGCAATAGTATGCATCATCCAACATGAAACTGGTCAGTTTACAAGTCAAGTAACAAACTGCTTTACAGGAGAAAGAAAAGGAAAGAGGGGTTAAAAGAGACCGTGACAACAATAAATAAAAGCAAGGACATAATATGTGCAAAGCCAGGAATATAGCCTATATTTAAAATATAAAGAAATAAAAATAATAAATTAAAATAATAAAAATTGAAGCTTTAATTCAATATTTTCTAGATCAGCCTTACAGTATACTAAATATTCAACATTGTTAGCATAAAATTTCAGGTCTGTCCTATGTCCAATAGAATGTCTTCACATACACAGATACACAATTGAACACTTACAGGTCCACTGATGGTACCAGAAGCCAGCAGGTCTCCCGGTCTGACGTTGCAGCCGTTGACTGTGTGATGGGCGAGCTGCTGCTTCATGGTCCAGTACATGTACTAGAGACAGAGAGAGAGGCAGAGATAATAATGGAAGAATATGAGAGAAGGGGGACAGACTAGGACTTCACACTGGTCCACCATTTGCATAAACAAGGCAGCACTGAGAGTTAAATCTTTTAGGTTTTTAATACTGATGGTCTCAGGGGGCTGTGAGAGGTAACTTATTAACCATGAATTACTTGATAATATAAAATTGACAAAATAAGAATAGCCCTAGCTTAACAACCTACCCAGTCCTCCAAAAAATAGTTATGGACTGTAGTAAAATTAACATGGTGGGAGGGAAAAAGCTAAATTTTTAATTAATTAATTACATTTATTTATTTTTTTAACTTTGAACCTGTGTGTGAACATTTATAGAGCAAGGGACCAGGGTCAAAGAGACGCACCGCACACTGTGAAACCTAACCGCATACCTAGATAAAAGAAGTACGTTAACATAACTTCATCCTCCCCAAAATGTGGAGTCACTCAATTCCATACATTTAATTAAAAAATGAATTGTTGAAGTAATGACTTAGTTGTAGTTTAGTGCACTTGAATTTGTGCAGTATTTTCAGTATTGGTTTGTTCCATTTACTAATTTCTTTAAGTTGTAAGATCATTCCAAAAATGTAAGCCCCACTGACCATGATCAGTGCTATAATGCTGGATAACTAAGGAATTTTCAATTTTGGTTTATTTTTAAAAGTCATCATATGTCCAAGTATACATTAATTCTTTAAGTGTAAAGATTTGTTTTTAGTCACATAAAATTGTTCACTTAATAAGGGCAGTCAGAATTACATTTCTAAATTCTTACATTGTTTGAGTTAATAAACCTTAACGGTTTAAGGCAATCGGTTTTCTCAAACAATTTGAGTTGAACTAACTCATCAGGTTTTACAGTGCACCTTATTTAATAATTCATAATTTTATAGACTAACCACAAGGCGTACAGTTTTAGTTTTACAGTGTTGTTGTTTTTTAAAAATTGTGCCCTGTATGTGTAAGTATGTATTGGTTTGGTGTGATGTATGTTGTATGTCATATATGTGTTACGTTTTACGATGGGGTTGGTGTTTGCTTATTAAACTTTCGAGTTATTGGTGCCAACTTTCTGCTTTGTTTCCTGTTGCTAATTGTTGTCTGCAACCAAACTTCATTTTTAATAAAAATAGACAAAAACTTGAAGAATATCATCACAAAGTTCAGGTCAGATGAAGTCACAGCAGCAAACACTATAAATGACTGACCTGTACAATACCAAAAAGCTTCTATATGCAGAACAGTGTTAGAGTGGGTGTGGCACAGCAGACAAGGTTCTTACCTTAAAGTTAGACCTGCAGATGGTTGCTGCCTCAGCCATGTCCTGTCCTTAAAGAGCAAACAGCAGAAGGTTACTCATATTGACTTCACTTCATAACATAACGCAGTACTCCTGACACATAGTAGTGGGTTATAGCAAACTACTCATTGTACTTCATTAAAAATTCCACAATCTATGAATATGCTAAATTGTTGGGCTGCTGGACACAAGATGTCTCCTCCTTCACTGTAAAGTCCATTCTCAGTGGATGTGCGCTGGTGGCTTCAAGTTTCTACATCACACTGTACAAGTTGATACTGGAAGATAAACTGACTAAATAGGTTTATGCCCCTCCACGTACCTGCTTGTCACACCATGTCTGTGTACAGTGTGTCTTAGCAGTGTGTGTGTGTGTGTGTGTGTGTGTGTGTGTGTGTGTGTGTGTGTGTGTGTGTGTGTGTGTGTTTGCCTACACAAATACACAGTGAAATCATTACAGTTGATTGGATGACAGTCACTTGGTGTACAGTACCTTTTAGTGACACAAACAAGTTAATGTTGAACGTGTAAGCATCCTGGTGCTGCAGGTAGGGGAGGGGCTCCGGATCCTGCAGGGACAGAGACAAAATGAGGTCAAAGGAGGTTCTTATGTTCAGTGCACACACCAGAACAAACATGCAGAGACAGTATTTGCAAGAATCCATGGGGCCTGAACAAAAACAACCAATCAGAGCCAAGAAAGATAGTTGATTCCCAGAACCCAAAGCAAGTATTTGACAACCTGGAAATGAGACTCAACAATCAACTAACCTAAAGCATCTTTCTATGTTTCTCGACTCTGATTATTTCACAGATTACTGTCTCTCGTTCTACTGTCAGGATATAGTGAAAGATTCAGCAAATATGACAAAAAATTAATTTAATAAAAGTTACGTACTGCAGCTTTAAGTCCTCATGTGTTTGTGCTGCAGATTGCACCAGAGGAAAGGCCACATTGTTCTCTTTATGTACAGATATAGATTTTAGACTTAGCTTGTCAGGCTCAGTTCTGCATTATCAGACTCTCCTCGGGCTGAGCTGTGTTTTCCTTTGCTCAGTTCAACATCCATCAGCTTCAACTGCACTATATCATACTTAGCTGCAGGGGTGTTGTACTTAAAAGACCAGTGTGTAGGATTTAGTGGCATAGTTAGAGAAAGGTTGCAGATTGCTACTAACTGAATACCCCTCCCCTCAACTCTCCCTTTCATAGCGTGTAGGAGAACCTACAGTAGCCTTCAGGTAACGCAAACACACAAAAGGTGACCTGGACCTTGGATGCTTCTCTTAACTGGTGTAAGTTAAGACTACTGTACTAACCTGGAGGGTGTTGGGCTGTGCAAAGGGTAACAGTGCCTCCATGGGGACCACCCAGGGTGAGATGGTTGTCCCGAAGTTCTTCCCCAGGAAAGGGCCCAGAGGAACGTACTCCCATGCCTGGATGTCCCTGGCTGAGAATGAACAGAAATATCACTGCATAAGTAAGTGGGTAGGGGTTCTGTAAAGGTAATTATTTATTGTCAGGCAATGAAAGGGAGGCCAAAAAGTTTGGTATCAGAGTAAAAGGTAGCATTAAAACTACCAAGAGCCCAGAGCAGGAATCAGGGTGACTTGAACCTTTCTGCTACGCATAGTAAACAAAAAAATGTACATGATAATGTGTAAAGTCAAGACAAACCTAGTAGCCACATCTATTCAGTGTCCACCTTTACCCAAGGCAAGTTTTCCAACCACTGAAGGTAATGGTAGTGCCGGTAGTGCACATCTGTAACCTATCCAGTCTCCAACAGACATTAGCCTCTGCTTTGCAACAGATAAACCAAAGATGACAGTTAACAGGACACAGGCTTGACACAGGCACAGGTACCTGAACACCTTGAGCAATTTTGTGTATTTTAGTGCATTTTTTACGCTGTTGGGTATGCAAGGTTAGTGCAGGTCTACAATTTTTGTGTCACTGCACTAGAATTATAAAGTAAACTAAAACCTGATTTAAAATAAAAAATGATTTACACTGAGAAAATGCTGATGTGCTTTTACTGCACTCGTAGATTTTTTCCGCATTTTTAGGGAAAACAAGGGGTTAGCACTAGAGCCCTACCAATTTGGAATATTTTAGACCAATATCAATACTGGTTTTAGAGAAAAAAGATTCACAGATTACTGAGATGGTGGACGATATAGTGAATTATTCAGCTGGATGAAAATAGACCTTTTGTATGTGGAGGGTACACCAATATGACTCTGCAAATGTACTTTATTAGATCATATTTAAGTATTCTTTAACATGTTAAATAAATGTATGGATTATGCATTGTAATCTGAAAGCTTTAGTATCTAGCAGTTAAGTTGCAGATTGCAACTAATTGAACGCTGCTCTGTATTTGACAACCTCAGTCTGAGGTAATGAATACTATATTCCATTTCTGAATGTTACACACTGGACCTTTAGGCAGTCCTATCCCAATTAAGCTAGTAACTAATAATTTGGTTGTATTGTAGTGGTGTAAAACATACACTCTCAAATGTGGTTAAATAGATTTATGAAGTAGTATTATTTCATACTGGATACAGTTATATGTACTATGGGGTAGGGTCATGTAACTTTCAAAAGCTCCATACTGGCAGTGTCCTCATCCACGCCAGTGTTCCCACAGATCTCTTCCACTGTGAAGCTAATGAAGCCAACAGAGAGATGATCTCGCACTGTAAGAGCTTTAATACCAGTCTGCTCTCATCATCTTCTTCTTCTGTCCTCACACACGGACAAGGCTCATTGGCCGAGCCTTCCCCTCACCCACTGTGAGCCTTCAAGAAATTACTTTTCAATTACACCACTGTGCACCACTGAGAACAGAGGGGAAGAGGAAGAAAGGGGGGCATTTAACTTAGCGTGCAGTCGTATGGCAGACATTTGGATGGCAAATATTCATGGAGAGCCTGTGGTGAGCTCTGCACTGATCTCCTGAGGGCTTCAGCAAGTACAAAATGAAAGCAGTGTCAGTTTGCTTTCGAGCTGCACATTCAGCAGAACTGTCACAGACTGAAGAATGCCTCACACTGTGCTGTGGTAAAAAAACAACAACAAGTGGGGCCTACTGTACAAAGTATCAGTGCACGAGTATGATGGGATGATCTTGAAATATTCAGTCTGGAGAATGTTTTACATAGGAGACACACTAAAGGCAAAATTCTAACTTCCCATTCACTGGATATTTTAAGGGTAATGTATGATGGATATCTTTGTATCTAATAAATTTATAATCTGCATGTAACAAATCAAAACACAGTTCACCTAATACTTCAAAGTATCATATTTTTAAAGACATATTATGAAACCTTATGAAAGAAGAGATAAAACAATCTTTCTATTAAAGGACCAGTGTATAGGATTTAGGAATGCCCCATCTAGAGCCAGTGCTTGGTTTGTCCTTTTTGGGCTACTGTAGAAACATGGCGGTTCAACATGGTGGACTCCGTAATAGATACAAAAATTACCATTTCAATTCAAGCAACATTAAAGGAGAAGTGTGTAGGATTTAGTGGCATCTAGTGGTGAAGTTGCTGATTGCAACTGATGTAATCCACTCTCTTCAAGCCACCAATCCAAAGCATCTGTATTATGTAATATAGTTCCTCCATGGATATTTCATTTTTTCCATTCTCTTTATGATATTATGATCTAATTGTAATTATGTGATTCTGCCTGTGCCATATGAGTACAGCTGTGAGTAAAGATATACTGGCTGCAGTTTTCTGATGCTTAGCCTTTATTTCCCAAAAGGTTTACGTGAGTATCATTATAGGGATTTTAAAAGGAAGAGATTAATTGATGAATTTTAATAATGCTTTAATTTCCATTTAGAATTTAGATTTTATCTGGAAGAATACACACACACATCTGTGTTAACGTGAGACTGTGAACAGCAGCAACTGTGGCCACACATTTCACTTCCACAAGAATGATACCTTGAGTTTTCTTTCATTTCCTCAGATGTCCTTGATTCATTTGTTTTGAAGATGTCACAGACACATTGTAAAAGCAAGAATATGTTAATTCTGGCATCAAAATATACACAGTCTTCATAAACAAACAAAAATCTCATATACAGTATATGTGAGTGGACTTGTGGACTGTACGCCACATATAGCTTGTGCTGTATATGCAGCAACAGTCATATAGGAGCTGAGAGTGTAACCTCAGTCCTTAATGAGAATACCACTTTTGTATTCCTTCTCACACTTCACTCTGTGGTGAGCCATAAAGCAGTAATAGCTGCTGCTGTGCTTTCTACACACACAGGGCTCATGTGGTCTCTGCCAGAGGACTAATACAAGAAAATAAAAACTAGTTGTGTTGAAATGCCACTCGCTGCACGCTCTAAATGACCTCTTAAATCACAGTCAGTCAGGCTGTGGCAGAGCTTCAGGCAGTGTACTACAGTAGATTACAGAGTGCTGCCATATTGACAGAAAGGCTGGGCTGACATGTAACAGTAAAAATAGGGAGGATGGAAGAAACAGTAAATGGAAAGGAACAAATACATTTTCAAGCTGGGATTACACCACAGCTGCCACCCCAGCTTGGTGTCAAATGCTGTCAAATTGAACACAGAAATTTTGATTGATTTAAAAAAAGAAAGTATAACATAAAGTAACACATATGATTTAATGGCTTTGCCTAGATATCATGTTTTCAACACGTACTCATCCCGCGGTTAAGTTAGCAATAGCTATAAATAGCAAGCCAATCACGTTGCTTTAGGTATTGTAGCTGAAGTTAAAGGTTTCACTTTTAGTTACACCCTGGGCTTATTAATGGAGTAAGTGGACAGATTATTATTTGTTCCATTGGTTTGTATTTGTCTTATTTAAGTGTTAGGACGTGGATATTCATTTTTAGTCTGGTTTCTACTGATTATCCTTTGGATTGGTGTGTTTTGCAGATCAAAGTATAAATCAGTCACAAAAACCTCTGAGCAGATTTTGAAGGAACATTTTGTTCCTGGCAAAGTTTTGCAGACCAGTAATTTTATTTCAACCTCAGCAAAACTCCATCTTAAGTAGTCAGCCCTCCAGTTGTTTCAGATTGGACTGCTCTCTCCCTGCGCATTAGCTCGCAGCCATCACTGCTCTCAGCCGCACTGTAAGACAACTCTAGCATCAAATCACTCCACATCTGACATCACACATTCCCTGCTCCTCTCAGACTGCTGATGAATTATGCAGGTGGATGCAGAGTGGGGTTTTCTGAGAAGGTCCAAGGCAAAATGAGACACTGTTTAATTCCACTAGATATTTTCAATAATTACTAGAAATGAGCCCAATCAGAGAATGTTTAAGGATGACTATTGTGATGACACATTTCACTATATCTATTATCTCGCCACAGACAGTATGGATGATTGATAAAAATACATAATACAGACAGAGAATTGAATAAAAAGTTAATTTCATCATGAAATCTCATCTCAATATTCACAGGAGTTAATCTGCTGAAGATTCATCCAAATCTCTGGTTATACACCAACTTCCTGCAGTTACTGTGTTCACTGTTTGGGTTCATTGTACAGTTTATCAGCTGTTCTCTAAATATGTCACTTTGTCAGTTTACTCAGAGATAGAAAAGGGGTTGCTTAAGGAAAAGGTTGGGAACCACCGACCTAAAACAACACAATCTCTTTCTATTATATTATATTCAATTCTAAAAAATATGATTAATATTTTCTTGTAATGTCGGCTTTTATCTACCTCTGCTGGCAGAGATGGAGGAACAGGATACAGTATGGCTGAGGCAGGAGTAAAGAGGGGATATTAGAGGAAATGACAGTCAAGAGCAAAAGCCCCACGCATGTCCTCTCCAGAGATTTCCAACTAAATCAATAATACATATTCCCACTCATGTTATGATGGGGGCCGACTGCCATTTAATCTAAAACCATTTCCATCTGACTAAATCTAAAGCGACTGCATCAACATGTATAATGCAGGACTAAATTAAGGAACAAGTGTGGCTCTAAGTGAAACGTCACTGCTAATTAGAGCTGTAGATTTGGCAGCGTAGCATCAGCTTCACCACAGAACGGGTTCAAACATCAGAACAGTCACACAAACTTTACTGGTACCAACATCCGTCCTACATGTTAAATCCCTGCTTTCATTGACATTTTGTTTGTTTTTTTAGACTGGAAATGGCATATCACATAATCCCAGGTTTGCCAGGATGTGTAGGAGAACCACAAAACAATCTACAAGCACATACAACGAGGATTATGTTGGTGTGTTGTGCAGAGGCTCTTACCGCTCCAGTCGTTCATGAGCACCATGCCAAAAATGTGCTCGTGGGCTTTATTGATGGGAATTGGCTCCCCCAGCTGAGTCCGTCTCCCAACAAAGAAGGCCTAATCAGAGTAAAGAAGAAATATAACAGCAGTGAAATACCGAGGCTGTTGTGCAATACTGAATGTCACACAGTCTAACAAAGGGCAACTCAGGCCTTTCTCTCAGACAACACAGATGTTGAAATGAAGTTATTTCAACATCTATTTAAACATTACAAATGTGGTTAGATTAAGTAAATACTATAATCACCATCTCCAGCTCAATGTCCAACTGCTTCGAGTGGCCAAACACTGGAGGTCTCGCTAAGAGAAAGTACACGGGAAACATGGTTATTACCAGCTGTACGAGGTAGTGTACTTTCACATTGTAGAGCAAAATCTGGTCAACATCTATTCAAATAGTGACATCACTTCACGTTTGTGGGCAAAAAGCGGGTTCACACAAGGTAAACTATTACATTTAGGTGCAACAGCTGCATTGATTAATTCCAGAATTAGTTGTAATCTTCTCACAGTACACTATCTTAGGAATTTAAAAGTATCACTGTTGAAACGTATCACATTTGAAAAGCTCATCTCCAAGTTCTTTAAACAGCTTTGACATAAGGACAAAACATTTAACATTGTGATTTTGAAAGGGTTTTAAAGGCCAACAGGTTGGAGATTACTCTCAACCCATCACACCAAATCAGCAACCCACACTTGGATATCACCTGATATGAGGTTTGGAAATACCATGCATACTAGGTCAATGTTTTGTTTCCCCCCTTTTCAATAGCTAAAGGCAAGCTCTATTCCTGCTTTTTTTTCCTACCATAAAGTGTGCGGTCCCTACTAGCTGACCAGGTGTCAAGGTAGTATTAAGGCTACTTTGTAACTGTGCCAATCATTAAGTGCAGTTTGATTTCCTTGATATAGGAAACAGATTCACCTTACCAGACCTCCTTATCTTTGCTTGAGGGTATATTATATATCCAGGCTACATTAGCCATTACTAGCATAACACACCCAAATCTCCAACTGAACTGTTGGCAGTCAGGTTGCATTGTGGGTAATGTATGTTGTGTATCATGTTTTGACAAGGAAAAGGAATGTATGGAATAAAAAAAAAAAATCCGATTTGGAGCTTTAGTTTTTGAAACTGTCCATTGCGGTCTTGAAGATGTGTTCGTAAAAAACTGATGAGCAAAGTTTCTCAAATTAGTAACAAGAAATAAATGTTATGATGTGAATGATAGAGCCCAATACTGGTAAGGATCTTACTCTGGTCAGGTCTCATCTGGCCTGAGGGGCGGCGAATGGGCGTCCCAGAAACAACCACTGATGATGCTCTACCATGGTATCCCACTGGGAGCCTCAGCCTGCATAAACACAATACTCAAGTTAGCACAACAGACAGACAACCACTGTGGGGAAACACAGCTCAGTTTTCATGTGGGACACTGTGCCTAGATCATTGTTAGTCTACAAACTGTGTATATTGAATAGGAATGGGATTTCACTGGACAGGGATGATATTTTTATTGTAGCAATATTTACCATGGTCTGGTCATGGTCATTACCCACTGCAGCTTTATCAGTCATATTGTAATGAAGATGAGCACAGATAAAAAAGAGCACTATGTAGGGTGTCCCAGTGCTGCCCAGGTGATCTCTGGGAAGGGAACAACCCCTCTAACAACCGAGTTTTTGAGTTTGTGACTGTTGTTGTGGTCACTTGCAGGTACAAATATGTACTGAATTAGAAAACATGTAAACCTGACTTTGAAAGGGTTGGCTTCGACTATCTCAGACTAGGTCCTAATTTTGGTCCCATGAAGAACTCTACTGTAAAAAACTGAATTGAGTAATATATAGTGGTTTCCTTATCTATAATACACAAACATGTTCATCGTCAAAGAACTATTGCTGAAAACTATTCTGATCCCTGAGATTTGACATGGGGAGAGACTCTGACAGCCTGGAAGATCAGCCTGCCAATCACCTGCTTAACCAGAGTGCAGCGTGTCAGACTCAGAGGGAGACAGCGCTGCCCTGGGCCACCTTAGCATTCCTCCCACGAGGGCCTGAGAATAAATGAAGGCTGTCTGTGCTGTGTGACTGAGGCATGCTGCAGGGATGCTCCCAGAGCCCCGCTGCAGCGTTTAAATGCACACTGACGCTCTGAGGCCCAAATCAATTAGAGAAACCTTGTAGTGTCCCTCCACATATCACTGTTTGCAGAGAGCCTTGAACAATTTGTTTCAAGCTGTCTCTCAATATCTTCCCCTGGCACTGGGAAGGCCTCTCTGTACGCCTTTTTGTTCATTCTATCAACAGATGTTAGTGTCTGGTTTGAGTGATAGCGTACCAGTTTGGCATCAGAGCATTCTCCTTCCCGCGGAACATGATGCCAACGTTGGTGGCGTGATCTCTGGAGGAGTAGAAGTCGGTGTAATCGCCTGTGAAAAACAGAGAGGAGAGTTCATAAGAGGATAAAGCTGAAATATTCACATCTATTGCCTGTACCCTTCTTTCATTAGTGAGGTCGATCAGCACAGACCTGACTGAGTGAGCCAAGTCATAAGTAACAGACATGTAATATGTTGTTAAACAGTGCCCCCTGGTGCTCATATGCCTCAAACCCACTAACTATGTGAAAGCTATTCCCTGCATTTAGATCTTCCAACCCAGTAAGAAAATTACACACGAGAAAAACAGTCTTACAAAGGAAAACTGACAATAATATATAATTCAAACCATATGGCCAACAGCATATGGACACCTCTATCTAAATACTTTGGTGTACTTTTGGTATGGGTCTGTTTTTCCTAGTTTGAGCTTATTTCCAATGAAGGGAACTCTTAAAGGCCCAGTGTGTAACATTCAAGTGGATCTATTGTCAGAAATGGAATATAATATTCAGGTATGTTTTCATTAGTGTATAATCACCTGAATATAGGAATTGTGTTTCCATTACCTAAGAATGAGCTGTTTTTATCTACAGCCGCCATGTTGAACCGCCATGTTTCTACAGTAGCCCAGAACGTGTTTTTTGTGCCATTTGCAGCCACCATCACCCTTAGAAAGAGAGGGTGAAGCAAGTGAATTGCAATCTGCAACTAAACTGCTAGATGCCACTAAATCCTATACACTGGTCCTTTAATGCTACAGCAAACAGTGATATTTTAGGGTTAGGGTGTTCTTCCAACTTTGTGTCAACAGTATGTGTTTGGCTCTTCACTGTTTAAACATGACAATGCCCCTGTGCACAAAGCCAGGTCCATAAAGAAATGGTTTTCCCAGTTTGGTGTGCAGGCAAAACCCAGAGGGGTAGGAAAAGTCCCCAGAGCACTTGCTGCTTTTGGGGACTTATTTTTTTATGTGACAAATTGACACCTAGACTCCATTTGTCTGTAGTGTTTAGAACTTTTTTTCAGAGTTAAATCGTAATGTAAAACTATAAAAGTGAGCGGGACTAAACTGGGATTTTGTAAAAATTAGTGTAGTGTCCCAAGTGAAAACAATACCCTTGGCAGCTGTTGACATTAACACAGAGTGACAAACAGCCACATTAAACAATCTCTGGATGTCAAAAGGTTAGACAAGTCTTGAAAAGGAAAGCTTCATCGACTCTAACAAATGCATTATTCATCAGGTGTGATGGGATATCCATTTTGGAGACAGTGTTTTTCACCCTCAAGAGAGGCTCACCGATGTCTGCAGGCAGGTGCATGGTGGCTGCACTCTGGTGGACAAACGCTCTGCAGAAACAAGGACAGAAAGACAAAAACCTCTCATGAAATAAGTTGTCTCAAGGGAGGACCTTTTGGAGATTTAAAGCTGGGTTTCCACTCAACAAGAAGTTATTTTCCAGAGCATTTCAATGACAATGACATTATGTCAGAGTTAGATTTATTTTGTGCGCTTCAGAGTGCACTATTCAGTACAAACTGCCTTACAATTACGCGACCGCCAGGAAATGAATAGCAACAGAGACAATTTTATAGATCAGTAAAATCACATTGTTTACCACAATCCCAGACTTGAAAGAAATGTTTTTTGGCACAGCCTGGTCTCCTTTCTGTTTTTAACACTGGCCTTAGTTTTTTTATTTTCTTCCTTCACACAGTTAGACTGTCTGCAGTTGTCCCACATGCTCTGGCAGCAGAAACAGCCTTTACTTTGAATGTTTAAATGTCTATTTCTTCTAATAGTTTGTTTACCATTCATGAGACACAGGGACACAAATGACAAATCTCATTTTTTCTTTTAAATTCCATCTGTTTTTATAGACTAGACAATATGATGGCAGCCATTTTCTCCCAAGAAAGTGTCCAAAATGTTTGTAATAGCAATCCCAACACTTTATATTACCCTTTTAATATTTTAATGTTATTCCTACTGTTTCTATTACATCATCAGTGAAATATTTCCATAAGAGGTGGATGACACTGATAAAGAATATCAAGCAGCAATATAAAGTGCAAGGAAAGCATGACTGGAAACTTTTAAAGTCCCCCTCCAAATTAGTGTTTCTTCCTGTCCCTATAGTGTGCTGTTTGAATGCTGTCTGTGCAGAGTTTGACACTAGAAGGATGTTTTCACATTCATCTGCTGGAAATGGAAAGTTTCTCTGTGCTCATTAAAAATCTGATTTTAAGGGGCGGGGCCTACCAGCAGGATTTATGACATCACAAACAGTTAGGAAGTCAGTCCTGGTCCAGTGTGCAACTTGTACAGTGTGATGTAGAAACTTGAAGCCACCAGTGCACATCCACTGAGAATGGACTTTACAGTGAAGGAGGAGACATCTTGTGTCCAGGAGGAAAACTTTAGAAACATCTGCATAATCAGAGAGTTTTAATGTGGAAATTATACTTTTTTTTGTGGAAAAACTATTTGTACAAATGTCTTAACACATGTTTGGAGGGGATCTTTAAGCTTTCTATTGTATTCTATTATGCAGAACTTCTGGCCACACCCCTTTCCATTAGGTCACAGAAGGTGGTTTGATTGGGGTGTGACCAGAACATGACCACACAACGCAGTAGCCTAATAAAGACTGTGTAAGCCTGTGCACTATAGACTTCTGCATCCACAGACAGACTGACCTGCTCCGGAGGCTGACATCATCTCTCAGCGTGCTCTCATTGGCTGACAGCAACAATTGCAAGGTCTTCCTGGTCTCCCTCCAGGCCTCATAACCAAGATCCATGAAAGCATTCAGTGTGGGCTTGTAGGGAGAACAGAAAACAATTAAGATATGACACATAAAGCAGCCCTTCCTAGGCTGATTAGCTGATATATTTCTAGAATGCAAAATGACTGAAATTTCTGTAAACACACCATTAGTAATAGGATATTTGTGTGTCTAACATGGCATTAGAGTATATAATCTGGTTCAACCTGGCTGACCTGCACACATGAATAATACAAAGACAATATCAGTATATATCTATATCTAGCTTTGAAGAATCTCTGATGCGTTGGAGTTTTTTCATTGCTCTACAGCTGTTCTTGTTCTAATCGATGTGTTCGGCCAGTCAGTCTGCATTTAAGGTTATCACTGCCTCTAGGAGTTGTCCTGCTCCTGGGGGCCTTATTTTCACAAGTATGTACATCTACCAGTTATCAGTGGTGGAATACATATATATATAGGGGCTCTGATTGGTTGTTTTCGTTCAGGCCCGGTGGATTCTTGCAAATGCCATTAGAAGTTCTAGGAGGAGCCAGAGGAACCTGATATTTTCACAGGTTATCTGTCTCGTGTACTACTGTCAGGATATAGAGAAAGTTTCATGACAAAAAGTTATATTCATAAAAGTTACCTACTGCAGCTTTAATATATAAAAATACAGCAAAGGGACATTCTGTATTATGAGTACTTTTATTTTGGTTACTTTTATATTTTGTTGCTTTGTCACTTCTATTAAGTAAAATTATAAATGCAAGCCTTTTTCTTGTAAATGAGTATCTGAGGACTTTTTCACCCCTGCCTATGGCTGCTTTACCAGATTTAGCATGTAATAGGTGTTGGAACTGTTCTGTATAACCCTGTCATATACCCCCTTCACTCAACCCGTTCACCCAGGAGCCTCTGAACCTAAGTCACAAATGTAGTTGAAGTGGCTGGAACGTTACTGGAATTTTGTTTGAACAGTATAATATGATAATATGATAATGATGATACTAATACTATGATGTTGCACAGTACATACGATGATCATGTGAGGCTAAAAAGAAAAACTGAGTTGTGGAGCGTCTTCCCTGATTACCTGGTCGAAGACATCCTGGTGTTTGGACATCACAGGCCCTCGGAACAAAGACAAGATCACACTCAGGTCCAGTATCTGGTCTCCAATGGCAACACCGATGCGATGCTTGACCTGGGGAAATAAGACACAGCCTGACACATCTACAGGTGATCCATAGGACACTTTAACTATCATCTTAAGTAGAGCAGTACTTGTGTTTTCCTGAGTATTTTTGCAGTCATATGATTTTACCTTCTCCCTTAAATCATTTTCATTTTGTTGCATTATATAATGTTAATTGATTGTGGGTATTTGTACTGGGTTTCCTGATGAGAGTGGAGAGGCCCAGGATCCTCAGTGCCCTCAAACCTACTATACACACTTCAACACACTTGGCAGAAATCTCTCAGTACACACTTCATCAAACTATGGTTGTGAATGTTCCCAACAGACATCATCTTTTTCCTCAAAGACCAAACCTATGGAAAAGTTTTAGTCCTCCATGTGTCTGACTTGACGCCACTATGCTGCATGTGTCAATGAAAAGTTCTCTCATAAATACTTACATTATCAGGTGTGGAGAATATTCCATATGGGAGGTTGTGGAAGGAGAAATCAGACGTTGCATCTACTTTTATGAACGACATCTTCTCTTCTGCAGTGGGATTCCACTCAACCTGACTGAGTTACAGAGAGTCTGAGCAGCAGCAGCAGCAGCAGCAAGCACTTCCAGATGTTTAACTCTGGACAGGCCCACCTCCCGCTGCACAGCCAATGGCATGCTGTCTATAGCATCCACCCTAATCCAGACCTCTGAAAGTTAATGAAAAGCAGCCTGTGAAATGACTCAGCAAAAGTGTAGTTCAGGTACTGATTATAGCCTGGTGTTAAAGAGAAAGAGGCAGATTCGAATGTACTTAATGAAACAGCAGGTTCATTAATGGAGCACAGTTCAGATATAGTTTGAATTCTGATTAGTTAAGAGTCTCACCAAATGCAGTCAATAAACAGTGCTTTTGGTTATTTGGTTCAGAAATGACACATTTGGATTTTACTTCCTGAACTTCCGGCATGCGGCTGACACTGACGCCACAGACATGCGCAGTAGTGGTACTACGGTGTGTGGTCATGTGTGGAGTCTTCACCGGACCGTTTACCGTCATTTACAGGGTTAACGGTGGAGCTACGGGCATATTACTGTTCTCGGCGCCTGTCTTGTTGATATATTTGTTAATGTTTAACTACGGCAAAGTTGCACGAAGCAAAAAACCCGTTAGAGACTTGGAAGTTGTTCCTTGCACAGTGACAGCCGAAGCAAACACGTATAACGTTAGAGAGCACACTGACGTTAACAGAGCTCCTTTTCAAATCTTCATTTTAAAGTTATTAAAGGCAGAATGGCCGCCCTGCGGGCAGCAAAGCAGGCCCTGAGGAGAGAAATAAAGCGGCGGGTTGCAGCGTTGACTGACGAAGAGAAACAACGACAGTCTCTAGTCGTTTCACAGAAGGTAAGGGACAGTTGAAACCGACTGCTTTGTGAGCTATGACCAAGTAATATAGACTACAGCCATTAACAGTGTACACAACCAGACTGCATCAACATTTCCTTCTTACCGCCACACGCGGGTCATCATAACGTCAACGTAAACTACAACAAAACGTCTTTTTTTTACATTCACTGCCTTGGACATGGTTACAGACAGTGTTTGAATGTGACCAAATATCTTTTATGAATTCATAAATCGAGTTTTTTCAATTCGGCGTGCTCCTACTGTAACATAAAGCTCTTGTTTAGATCAAATGTTGCTTTCCTTCGGTGGTTTCTCAGTAGAACGGTCTGTCAGCCAGCTGAAAGTGGGTTGAAGTTCATTGAAATAAAGGGATTTTGGTGTTTATACACCATGCCGAATAGAAAGGTTTAAACCTAGCTACACTTATCAAAGCTTTAACTTAAGTCCGAGCTGTTTTGTAACTGCAAATAATTCAATTAACTCTTAAAAAGTCCCATTTTTCAAATTGAGTTTGGCCTTGATAACTGTAGATTCAACATGCTCCTTATCGATCCTTATGTATGCCATGTAGAGACCCATGTAGAGATAGCCCAGGCCAATGTGGTAAGTTATTTTAACTCAGAAAAATTGTTGAAACGGATTACATATATTATATATATATAGTAACACAAACTCAAAAACCCATTCCTGAGGAAGTACCTTTTACTATGTATTTCTTTTTCACAATACAAATCAAAATGTCAGAATTAAGTCGGTGTCATTTAAAATTATAAAGCTACTTGAATCAAGAATGTCTTTTTAACTTACAAAATTGAGTTAGCTTTGCTTAAAATTATCAATGTAATCAGTTTTAAGAATTTTTTGAATTAAATGAACTTATTTGGTTTTACAGTGTTGTTGTTTTATTTATAATAATATACCAACATACAGCCAAAAAAGACAAACAAACAAACATGAAAATACTAGATGGATCAGAAAGTGAAATATTAGAAGCAAATAAAAATGTAAGATTCTATTTGGTCTCAGACTTCTTCAGACAAACATCTCAGAATACATTTAAAATGCATTGTTTATTACATCCATGTTTAAGAGGGACAAAATAGTATTCAATTTCAAATAAAAGCAACTTAAAAGATGTCGATATCAAATGTGTCTAATAAAATAGAATAAAGTTAACAACAGAGCATACGTTGTTCACATTACATTCAAAATCAGTAATAATATTTTCCCCCTTAATTACAATTGCACAAGTTGTTTTGTATGATATGTAATTCTCAGTCTTAATGTCAGAATATACCTTAGAACAGATGAACTATACTACATGAAAGTACATTTGTTATCAACTAAGAATCATGTCATATATTTAGCTGACTAAAAGTAACAAGCCAAACTTTGCAACAGTTAATATCAGTAATTGTTTGGATTTCTGTGCTCTGATAATGTCACTGATTTTAACTTTCTGTTCCGTCTTGTAGCTGTTCAGACACCCCAAGTATGTGTCCTGTAAGCGGATTGCAGTGTTCCTCAGCATGAACGACGAAGTGTGCACTAAGGAAATCATCAAAGACGTGTTTAAAGCGGGTAAAAGCTGCTTCATTCCCAGGTATGAGAGCAGCAGCAGCCACATGGACATGTTAGAGCTCAACAGTCTGCAGGACATGGAGTCACTGCCTCTGACATCCTGGAACATCCAACAGCCTGCTGAAGATGACAACAGCAGAGAGGAAGCACTGGCTGCAGGTGAGCATACACACACACACACACACGAGATTATCTAGTCCAGTGTTTCTCCCCTGGGGGTCATGAGGCTTTCTCTTTCTTTTAAGGGGTGTCAGAAAACTTCTTATGATGTAATATTCACAGAAAGTAATTCATCCAAATCTCTGGTTGTACACAACATTCCTGCACTTATTGTTTTCACTGTTTGGATTCATTCAAAGAGCTGTGCAACATGTTCCATATCTGTGCTCACAGTGTTCTGCCGAACCTAACAGACGGTGCATTCTCACTTTTACAAATAATTGTAAATTATTCAAATAAACTACATAAATTAATCTGGTTGTAAAGATGTCCGAAGCAGATTTGCTGGACCAGGATCAGGGCTGATTGAGGTAATCTTTGATGGCTATATCCACATTTCTGATCCCTCCAATTGCTCCAGATTTGCTGTCAACAAAATACCGTTGTGCCCCTTTGGAATGGTGGAAGTGTACACTTTCCTGAGAGATTATACTACAAGTGAACTGTGCAGCTGTTACGATAATTGATCCAAACATTATGCAAGTGAACCACACCTCTAAACTGCATTTAAAGCTCTGTTTCATGACATTCTGCTAATACGTTGCTTTGTTAATTGCGATGCAGTTTTCAATAGTAAAGGAGTAGGACATGGGTTGAGTGAACAAAAGAAAAACATGATCAGAGCATCCCTACAAAACCCTGTAAGATAATTAGCTATTGATGTTGTTGTCTCACCAAGGTTAAGGTTACTTCATCTGTGCCCACAGGTAGATTTGGTTTGCAGTAAAAGACAAGGCATTCTTCTTGACAGAAATATAAAAACAACAAACAACTCGGCCAATAGACAAACATGATACAAACATGATAAAGATAAAAGGTGAAAGTGCTCCAGGCTCTACAAATGAGGACTTACAAAGAGAGATCAATAAAAAAAACTACTGAAATAAGCAACCACTAGAATATATAAGGGAAACATGCAGGTGAAAACAGGGTTAGATTTCATACCGCTTTGTTCTACATCTTGGGACTATAGACCTCTGTCCAGAAAGAAGAAGCTGTGCAAAGGGTGGGAGCCGTCATTTAAAATGGAGCTGGTTATCCACTGTAACTGTCTGCTGTACAGGGATTCTGGGTTCATGACTCACCAGTCAGCCTACTAGACCATTTAACAATCTGATTGAGGGAGTTTCTGTTCTTTAGGGAGAGGTTTCCAAATCATGACACAAAAGAAAAAGATACAATTGATTCAGTAAAAGCACAATAAAACAAGGTTTTGTCAATGTGGAAATAGGACAGTTTCCTCAAACAAAACAACGTTTTCCAGGTGTCCCTTTCTCCTTTCTTTGGAGAAACATATTGAAGAAAATACAAGCAGGTGTCACTGAAGTTCACTTCGACCTAATATTGAGTCTTTTGTCTAATGTTCCATTTGTGATGAATTCAGTGTGGGCTTGTATACCTAATGGTCAAAACATGAGGTCTTATTTATTTTTATTGTAATTGACAGATTCCATTCCAAGTATCAGCCTCTTCAGCTAACACACACACACACACACTCACTATTATCATAACAGGATTTTTTATCAGCTGTAGTTCTGATGTGTCTTCTTTTGGAAGCACAACAAAATAACAGATTGACCAGCAGGTGGAGCTGTGGTTCCTCTAAAGAGATTTACCCACCGTCATCAGGGGAATAACTGTATGCACGGTTACTCGTCCATACAGTGCGTTCATCTGACCTCTGCATTTATTAAAACGTCAGTATTCCTGTATGAGATTCCTCTGGAGGATCAGGTCTGATCATGGTGATCACAGAGCTAATGACTGGCTACAGTTGGGTTAAGTGCCACGCAAAAGGCCACTAAATGTCTGACCTTTGACCTCGTATTTAACCTTGTGTATTTGTAGCTAAATCCTAGTATTTCCCAGGACCCAAAGTGATGTCGCAAAATGTCTTGTTTTGTCGGAACAACAGTCCAAAACCCCAAAGATATTCAATTCACTGTAATGTTGAGACGAGGAGAAGCAGCAGATTCTCACATACGAGGAGCTGAAACGATCAAACACATTGACAGTTGTTCTTTTTTCTGTGATCAATTAATCATTGCAGCTCTAATGTACTTTCTGCAAATGGGCTATCCTTTCTGGTCCCATCATGCACTTGTGAGCTATCTAGGTCATGTATGCAATAATAAGATTCCAAAATGAATAAACAGCTTAAATTTTGTAATATTTACCAATAAGACAATATGTGCACATGCAATATTCCACACGTAGCACTAATGTTCTCCACTGAAAACATGACATTAATCTTCTCTTCCACTGTCTAACTCACTGCCACTCACTCCAACTGGAATGTCACACAGTGTACACAGTAAGTAGGAATATAACTCCACCATGGGTCATTTTAAACAAATAAATGAATGAATAAGTACTAAACAAATAAGCCCTGGTACATGGGACGCCAGCTCCACCAGGTGAGCTACCAGGGCACCCCTCCATAAAGTCACTCTTTATTTCAGAAAAGGATTTCTATGACAGTGGTGTCGTCACCGCCCTCTCACTTTTCAGCCAATCACGTGCCCCTTTCGTCTTGGGCATAAAGCTCAACAACTGCTACCAAATTTATCCACCAACTAGAGGCTGCTGCTGTAAATAAACGCTGTACACAGTCTCAGAAACGGAAATCTCCTTATGTTTACTTAGCTGAGCTGGCTAATGAGCTGGGTGAAGTTGTGAGCTTGCTTTATTACTCGGTGTAAGAGTGAAGTGACAGTGTTAACGGCAGCAGCTGATGTAGCTGCTTAATTTAGAGTTACCTCGGCAGTGTTTCGACTGAAAAGATGTTCCTCAAACACAGACACACAACCCTGTGAAGATCAGACAGACGGTACATGCCGATTCCCTTAATTGCATCCACGTTCCCCTCGCCTTGCATCTTTTGCAGACGCGAGGAGAGAGGAAACACATCTTTAGAGAAATGATACATCCTTTCCTCTGAACCGTCATTTAAAGCGACATCCGTTTCTGATGACAGCAGCACAGCTGGATCATCTGTCAGTCAGATTTTACAGCTCTGTGGAGACTTTAGCTCATCTGGAGTTTGTATTTGTCCGTATATGAGCTGTCCAAATAATAAAATAAGGGTTCACAGTAAACTCTGCCACTGCAGCAGTGTTGTAAGTTTCTCTTTATGTTCCCCCTTTACAATAATCTGTTTACAATATACATTTATTAAAAACCTGCATTCTGTATTTGTACCGTAGATCCTGCTGAGATTATCTGAATTTGCATTCACTGATATTCTGTTTGTAAAGTCATTATTTCATGATTTCATTTCAGTCATTAATAATACAGGTAATGTTTTAGGTAAATAAAATTAATAAAATGTAATTATGTAAATATCACATTAAAACTGCAGTAGGTACATTTTGTGAAAATAACTTTTTGTCATTATTACTGTGAAACAATCAGGTTCCTCTGGCTCCTCCTAGTGCTCCTAATGACATTTGCAAGAATCCCCCAGGGCTGAGTGGAAACAACCAATCAGAGCCAAGAAAGATAGAAAGACACTAAGTATGGAGGCTTGAAGATAGTTGATTGAGTCTCATTCCCAACTTGCAAAGCTTCTGTATTTGACAACCTGAGAAAGAAACTCAACAATCAGCTATCTTTCTTGGCTCTGATTGATGTTTTTGTTCAGACCCGCGATAACAATAACAATGAACGATTAAAGTGTATATATATTGCTTAAGGACAACAGACTCCAAACTGTAATTATTCATGCATATTAAAATTAAAAACAGTCGATCATGAAAAGTCTTCCTAATGGATGAAGATAGTTATGGTTCTTTTGTTTGCCACAGGCAGGGGCATGTGATTGGCTAAAAGGTGAGAGGGTGGTGACAACAACACTGTCATGAAAATATTGTTATGAAATAAAAGGTATAATGTTGATTTGAAATTAAAACACTTTTAAAAAGGGGCATGTTAAAATAAAGATATAAAATGATTTCCAATAAAATTCAGATATAAATAATAAAATATGAGTTGAATTTTGATAATTTCTTCAATTATTTCATAAATTGTTGGTTATACTTACAAATTCATCTACATGTGAGTATTTATTTAAAGCAGCTACAAGGAACTTTAATTTTGTGTTGATTCTGGCAGCCCCTGTGGTCAAAAGCGGTAGTGTTTCTGCTGCCTCGTTTTATTGAATTCAAGGGGAATCTGACCATGTGGCAAGCATTAAGAATAGCTATATAAGAATAGGTAATTTTCTCACTGATGGTCTTGTTGCGTATGTAGGTCATATAGATGCATCAGTATTACATTAAAAACTGAGAATATTTTTATTTTTTAATAGAATAGAATAATTGTTTCAAAGCTCCATTTTCTCACTGCAATGTTGTGAGGAGCTCATTTTATGTTGAGAGAACAGCACTTTCTGTCAAAAGATGAACAGCTTTTTGCTGACATGGTATCTTGTGATAAGCTTCGTAGTGATCAATGAAAATCTTTACTTCCATGCATTGTGCATGCATGTCTCTGCCTGAACACAAGGACCACATTTGCTTCCCTGAGAACCTGCTGACTAGTTAGGACTGATTTCCTACTCTAAAACAGATAAATATGGGCTCTGATCTGCTCTGCTTCTATCACTGCACATGGCTGTGAACTACTGCAGCACATGTCTTAGATAAGATCTTATTGATTGATCACCAGGAGGGAAATTTAGCATTACAGCAGTACGATTTCCACAGCACTAATTCGGTCAGTTCAACCTGTCAGAGTCCTGTCATAATCTCCCCACTGCTGCTCTCTGAAATACCATTCTCATTCACTAATTATTTCTTTTTATGTACACTTGTACAGTTTTCTTGATTAGTAGGCTGCTACTGCAGGAAAATAGAAACTACTGCTATTAATTATTTCTGTTAAAAAGAAAAACTGTTAAATAAATAGTAACACTTATCAGATCAAAACCAAACAAAACTCTATCTAGAAAAGTATTTAAAAGCAAATTTAAGCCCTTTAAGTCACCTGTCTCTAGTTTAAGTAAGGTCTCAAGTCATGAATACCAAGTCAAGTCGAGTCTTTTATCAGTTCAAGATGAGCCAGATCTGTGCAGAATCCATCACCAGTGATCTCTACACAATGCATGTTGGGTTAAATTTATGTCTGCCTTGATGTCGACTTGCTTTGACGTTGTGTACACATGGGCAACGATAACCTCACGAGACTGAAGTGGCCGCAGTTTTAAGAGCCAGGCACCGCAGTTGCTCTCTACTGACTGCAAGACCAAGGGCATAATGGGAAACGCCTGGCTGTCACCTGATCAAAGACCTGATTCACTCTTACTTTTGAAAACAAACACCACGTTTTCCTAATTTCCTCTGTGATTTTAATATTTAACTCTAGACTGTAGGCTTTTATATCTCATGTTGTGCATTGAAGGTTTAATTTGTAATATACATATCGTGTGTGGTTAATAATTATAATAAAGTTTGTTTATATATCCACACGTGTTAATTTACTCACTCTCTCTCATAAAGTATTAAAGGTCCAGATTCTATTGTCAGAAATTAAATATAATATTCATAGGTATGTTTTCATTAGTGTATATTCACCTCACCTTAAAACTAGGGATGTCACGAGAACCAATACTACCGATGTCAACATTTTGAAAACTTGACGGTACTCGTTTTTCTACAGTACCATAGGTACCGAAGGTACCAAGGATGCAATTCTTCCAGACCTGACAGGGTAGCATGTACGCATACAAATATTGTAGTTGTTAAATGCCACAGGAAGAAGAAAAACATGTCAAAGACAGTGACAAGTGCAGCTGTACAGGTGATGTGTGTGTGTGTATGAGCTCATGCTGCTGGTCAGATGCAAGACAGAGAGCGATAGGGAGGAGCACACTCACCACGCCACAGACAAAAAGCAACTACGAGTATTTTATTAATGTAATCTGCACAGCAGATGTAGAGATGAGGAAAATAAACAGTCAGCAGAATCCAGTTCATTCAGGTAAATCAGGTGAAAGATGCACTGAAGCAACAAACTCTGAAGGGAGAGAGAAATTCCCTCTGGACAGCTACAAGATCGACAAGATTAAAAAATAAAGTTTGTTAGGCTATTTTATAGCCTACTTTGTTTATAACTTATTTAGTATAATATATATGTATAGGTTATATTAATCTAAATATATTATGTATAAAAACATTAAGGAAAAGGTATTTAATCAGTATTAAATGGGGATCGGGGGCAAAAAAATTGGTTTCGAGAATCATGGAATTTCATTGGTATTGGCATTTACTACTAACTTTCAGGTATGGTGACATCCCTACTTAGAACCAGCTGTTTTAATCCACAGATGCCAGCGGTTGGCTTCAATGGAGTCTGCCACATTGAACCGCCATGTTTTTACAGTAGCCCAAAATGGAAAAACCAAGCACTGGCTGTAGATAGGGCCTTAGAGTTTTGTGTCCATCGTAGTTTCTCCTACAGGCTTGGAAGGGGAGGGTGAGGCAAGGGTGTTTTTAGACAGACTGGACCTTTACCTGATGTCTGTAGACATAAAATACATGTCTGACTGTTAGTTCTTATTAACAGGCAAAGGCAGACATTTTCCGGACCATTAACACTGATTACACTACCAACTCTCTTCATCCAGGAGGCCTCGACCTAATCTTGATGCCAGGCCTGGGGTTTGACCAGTTGGGGAGGCGTCTGGGACGGGGAAAGGGTTTCTATGACACCTATTTGGAGCGCTGCATCCGACACCCAAAAGGAAAGCCCTACACCATCGCCTTGGCCTACAAAGAGCAGCTGTGTCAGGAAATCCCTGTCGACGACAACGATGTGCTCATAGATGAAGTCCTATATGAGGATAATGAGTAGCTACTAAACCAGAGTGGTGGTCCAGGAACTCTGGCTATGTTTACATTCCAAAGTCATTCAATGGTTTCACCTGGGTTTGTCATTCTTTTTTACTGCAGACATTTTGACCATAGTAGAAACAGCCCAGGTGGAACTAATACGACTAATAGTGGCCTATTGGAATACTGCCATCATTAATGTCATTAGTTGTGTTTTTCCTGCTATGAAATATTATCTGTTTTTGCATCATACAGGTTAATGTACTAATTCAATGGCTAGATGATGAATCCTGATATTTTGTGACAATATTCTGCTCTTTATGTCATCCTGATGTTGTCATAAAGATCAATTCAAAGGCAGGTTTTGCTAACCACTAAATACTTACAATGTAGAACTCATTTACAACAAACAATGGAGAATTAAATGAAGTGCAAATAAAGTTGTATTAAGAAATGTACAGTGTTTTCATGTAATGGCTGATGGACCCCACTGTCGAGTCAACGCAGTAACACAATCTGGATCCATATCTGATCAGCACTGCCTAGTTTGACAGTTTGATCTGAGTTTGGTGCGTTGAGCTGGACGGACTCACTGAGAATGACCTGTCAATCACAAGGTAGCCCCGCCCTAAAGCATACCCTGCTTTATGGTCTATTTTACTCTAAATGGGACCATCAGTTACTAAATGAACATCATGCTGTATGGAAGAAGACTGAAACTAGAGCCTGAGACCATAAACGCATCAGGAAACTGTTTACTGAGCTCATAAATCAAATGAGAAGTAAGCTAAGAATCAATAGTATCAGACTTCCCTTTTGCAGCCCATGGAGCTGCCCCTTGTGGTCATTAGAAAGAATGCAGGTGTAAGTTACTTCCACAGTCTGTCCACTAATTATATACTGTCAATTGGAGGGCAATGGGCATGCTCACCCACCTGGTTCTCAACGGTACGCAGCAAACAGTACCAGAGGGGGCGCTGTGGCCTGTTAGTATTGTCGTTGATTCCACCCTGTAGTACCCTTTAATAAGGCCTCCGCTGCTCTGACTGTATTTGTCTGCATGAAACACCGGGAGCTTTAAAAGCTATCATACGGCTGTATTTCTGTTTCCCTCGCTGACAAACTATAGAAGTGGAAAAAGTGGAACAAGCTTCTTCAGTCAGTTTCAATCAAAAGAGCAGGCGGGTTTTGTCTCTCTGACTGGTGCAGTGCGTTAGCCAGCTAGCTGTATTGTGTCAGTGTTGACAGCTGCTGGATGGAAAGTTGTTTCATGTTAAAAGGCTGTTAAAGATGCTGATATCTGGCCTTTTTGTTGTTATTTGTGTTGTAGACCGCAGTGCCTGCTGGTTATTGTAGTAAGGACAGGCCACACTGTAGTTTGTTGTGTGTGACTGTATGGACGTCAAACTGTGTTCATTTAGCCTTATTTACAGTCCGTCTTTTATTCTTTGTCAGACTGAGGCTTGTGTGTGACAGTGTAAACAGAGCACATCACCAAAGAGTAAACAACATACATACAGTGCAATCTCAAATGTTTAAAATGTTTACAAATATTTAAAATGCCACCAGTAGGGTTAGGTGTACCTAGAAATGTCCATAAATAAATAATAAATTGGGTGATGATCCCAGACCAGTTTAGGCATTAATGAGTCTGATGGAGGTAGGCACAAAGCTCAACATGTCCCACTTAGTCTTAAATGGAAGTGACCTGTATCTGCGGCCTGAAGGTAAGTGCCTGTATTAGTTGTATAGTGTGTGTGTGTGTGTGTGTGTGTGTGTGTGTGTGTGTGTGTGTGTGTGTGTGTGTGTGTGTGTGTGTGTGTGTGTGTGTGTGTGTGTGTGTGTGTGTGTGTGTGTGTGAAGTGCGAGGCTATTTGCAGCTTTTCATTTTAGCCCATCTGCCGTTGATGCTGCGTAATGGTTCCAGGTCCAGACCAATGATTATTCTGCTAATTCTGATGATCTCGTTCAGAGTGTTGAGATGAATGTTACTCCGAGCACCAAACAAGGCTGTTATGTTGGAGGTGATGATGGATTTGATGAAGCACCTATTAAAAACTAATAAGACTGTTTTGTGGACCTGAAGTTTAAAGACGAGGCGTAGCTGACGTGGAGAAGATGATTTCACTGTTCTGTTTGAATGTGAGCCGAGGTATTTGGTCGATGAGGTATTTGTATGCCTGTTGAGCAGATTATTTCTGTAAATATTGATCAGAGAGGTTTTTTTGTTTATAAAAATCATACATACTTAATAATATGCTTATATGCACAATATCAAATCAGACCACATCAAATACCAAAATATTATGGAAATTTACTGCACCATTCCTTTTTCATTTCAAATTTCAGTATTTCATTATTTTATCATTATTGTCAGTGAACAGTATCGTTTAAAGAAGCAGATGTATTTCAACCACACCTAGGGGTATAAAGATTTATGAGTCAGAAATCAGTTTCAGCGTTATAAATGCGACTGCATCGGTATATACTGTATATATATGTAACACTCTGCTGTAAATGAGTGGATTACTCATATCGAAGATATTCCAGCTCTTGCAAAAATGAATAATCAGTGGGCCCTATAAAGAGGAGCCAATAAGATCTCATGGTGGTGAGGACTTTGTACCCCTATAATAGTTACTGTGCCCATTTATTATAGTGAAATTAAAACTGTACACCTGCAGGGGAAATAATACAAAAAAATAAAATACAAAACACTTTGCATTATGAAATGTACTGATTGTTATGAAAATGAGCAAAGGGAGGGATAACACGTGAGATTGGTTCTTCTATGCTTGTAAATTATGAAGCTGTATTTTGTCTGTGTTGAGAGGAGAGGCGTCATTCTTACATTTTTAACTGCTATGTTTTTTGTGAGTAGTGTGTTTACAAGTTCTTTATTTATTAATTGTTCCTTTAACCTAAGACAATTTTTTTCTTCCAACACAATAAAAGCAACCTCAACCCCGCTTAGTTTGAGACTTGTGCTGCATTTCCGTATAATGATCCAGCCTCATTGCCCCAGATATTGTCGAGTGAGTAAGGGGGGCGTATGTCCTGTAGGTGGCTGGAATTCCCAGTGTTTGTTGCTGCATTTTACAACCAAAATCAAGACATGGTGCGTTCCAGCAGCAGGAGGGCAACAGCTTACCCAGGCCAGAAGGTGTGACGCCAGCGACTGCTTAGTGCTATGCAGGAAGGGGCATATAAATGGCCTGTCCAAATCCTTGCTGCACCAGTATGTAGGATTTAGTGGCATAGCGGTGTTGTATGAAGGAGAAACTACGGTGGCCGGGAAACACACAAAAATTGCAAAATGCCTTATCTAGGGCCAGAGTTTGGTTTGTCCTTTCTAGGCTACTGTAGAAATATGGCGGTTCTACCTACAGATCCTCCTAAATATTACACACTGGATCTTTTAAGGCATTCTTGCTACACATGGTGAAACAAAAAAGCCAATAGAGACAGTGCCTACTGTATACATGACATGGCACTGAATTATTTCTATTGTTAAATTATTTACTCAGGGTAATTTCAGCCCTGGTGATCAATCTTAGTGTTTCACTCAACCATCAGAGCCATAAATGTGTATTAGTTCATAGCTGCAGGGGCTAACTTTGTGTTATGAATATTTATGACACATCACAGATAATGTTAATGTCTCATTTTATAACAGCACCAGCTGGGACTAAAACTGTGACCGTCCACTAGAGCCTTTTCTGTCAGAACATCACGTCTTTGAATGAAAGCCAAATGTTGAGTGAATGTTAAGTTACAGTGCTCTTGTGTTTTTATTTTTTATCCACTATGACCTTTTCTAGTATCAGTTATTAAATCACAGAAAATTACAAGCGGAAAAAAGTCCTTATAATATTGTATGGAACATGTACATTGAAACTGGGATTGTCTGTCTCTTAGGTGTTACAGTTTGAGTAAGGGCTGACTCCTAGTCACTCACAGACGGTTAGATGTCCTGACAGTCCAGCCATGCAAAGGAGTCCCCCAGGATGCTTCTGGTGGACCCACTGACAGTATATATAATGGACAGAGCTTCTGGGTCTGGGAAGTGAAGCCAATGCAGAAGTGTCTTAAACCTGCATTCTTTCTAATGGCCTGCAGGACGTCACCAATGCTGGCTGCAAAAAAACAATATGGTGAATTCGAGGCTTAAAAAGTGCAGTCCAAAACCAGACCCAGTTTGGATCGTTGTGGAGGTTTAACTGAAGTCCTGGAAGAACCTCCAGCAGGAGAATGTGAATGTACAAATGGGAAACCCGTTTGTCTTCCTGTGTAGTGGGCTGCCAGTGTAGACTTACGTAACGTCACCTTCGTGAGCGGGCCTGTAATTACAGTGTGTGGGGGAGACTCCTTGAGAGGAGGAAAACGTTCTTAGTAATTCATCAAAAAGTTCAACAGCAAAGGCTAAAATAAATTGTGCTGTCCTTTTACCCATACAGAAAACTCAGTTATTTTTTGTGAGTCATAAGGCAACAGACTAATGCAGTGGGCCCTTTATTTTATTTCAAACATTACAAATACACGTTTTACCCCTACATGCTTTTTAGTATGTGCTGTCATTTCTGAGATAAGCTACCTTTGTCTCTTTTTAAGTATTAAGTATTTCTTAAATGTGTTTTCATGTCATTGTGTGTCTGTGTGTGTGTTTGTGGTGTCCCATGTAGGAAATAAATTGTGACTTAAATGTTTAATATTGTAACAGTTAATCAAAAAGTACTTAAAGCTTAATTTAGATCTTACTGAGTGCTTGTCATATGAAAAGAATGTGAGTGTGCTTTGATGTGGGAGAACGGGGAACTGATACTGGTATCATTTTTCACCTTGAGCTGTCTTAGCAAAGCGTATGTGTGTGTGTATGTAGTGCCAATTAGTACTACTCTTGTTAGACTTGTTTTAGAATTATGTGACAGCCAAGCAGCTCCTATGGCTTATGTAAGTTTTGTTTTTGTCTTGGTTTTCACTATAAGTAGGATGGGAAATTCCTGAGGGACAGACTCGGAAACTGCTCACTGTGCTTAGAAAGTCCTCTCTCTTGCGTTCACAATAAAAAGATACAATCTCTAATCTATCTGAGTGTCGGTGCTTTCTGTTGACTGTTGGGTGTCTCCTTTAGTTAGAACAGCTCATCTTTGCTAATAATACCTTAGGCACACCAGATAGTTTTAGCTACAGGCTTGATAGCAAACCCGTTGGTGATAGCACAAAGCCTCACGGACAGTTGATGCAGAGTTTATCTTTGTGTGGTGGGGTGGGAAGGCTCGCAAGATCAAGCAATCGGTTGTGTTACCCTCTCTGCAGTCACCTACTGCAAACTGGTTTGGAACCTAGGCAGACCCGTTGGTAGTCCTGTTGGCTTGCGTGCCTCTTCTACCTCCATCGTCAGGGTTAAACAAAGCACGCTACTAACAGGGTACTCTGTTACCTGCAGTGTCTGAC